GCGGGGCACACGGCGGCGCCCACGCAAAAGTCTGGATCTCTGGGCTCTCGAAAGTGACTTTCCCGAAAACTGCAGCGAGCTCCTGAACATGCCGTTGGGGATTGCGGACGAGAGCTTGAAAGTGGCGGAGCCGTCGGAGACCGAATTCCACGCTGGGGGGTACTATCGCGATGCGCTTCCACACGGCTTCCGCACGCACCGTCGTCACCTTCCACCTGGCCTCCGCAGCTTCGCCTCCCTCCTCCACCTCACCCTCGTTCAACCTGCGATAGACCGCAACCCCATTGCACAGCGCAGCAGCATAGCGCGTGGCCACCGAATCAAGACGCTTGACCTGCTCCTCTGTCAGAACCCGAGCTTCAAGACCCGCCAGCGCCGCTCCTATAAGACGAGCCCGAAACACCACACGCCTCCGATTAAAATTCTGACAGGTCTTCCAGAACTTCCCCATTCCTCGCCAGCCCACTCGGATCGCCGCGCATCTAGCTCGGATCTCCTCGTCGTTCCTCCCCGAAGACTGCGTGTGAGCTCCCAAGAACACCGAAGTCGCCTGGACCTCCCCCGAGATGGCGACCTCGTGGCAGTGCAGGGCCCTTGCAGACCTCTGAGCCCCTCGGCCCACGAAACACGGGCTGACAGCTTTTTTTTCTCACGGCTCTGGGCGAGGCCAACCCGTCCCAGTGCTGCATCAAGATACTGATCGGAAACTTCCACGCGACGAGCTGTACTGCGCGCATCTGGGACAATATGAGTACATGTGAGGTCATCAGCATACTTCCTCACTCCCAGATCCACTTCCTGAGTGGCTGCACACCCTGCTATCAGCTCGTGTACCGACGTCGTAGGAAAGAGATCTCTCCTCCACTCGGCCGCCGGCGTCTCAAAGGCCAATCGAAACTTCGTGGCCGCGTCTGCATCACCCATGAAACAACCCACTCGATTCTGATATACACCCGTGCCGTCGCAAGCATCGGCCACGCACGCTGTGTTCCGATGTCGTGTTACCATAATCTCCACATCCTCAGGCTGGTACAGCTGCTGGACCGTGTCGTCAAGGTGGTGGTGAGTGACGCTGGCGAATGCGTTCGTCATGTCGTGCTTCGTCGTGATGTGGCTCAGGCCTGCTGCGCCGAGTCGCCATTGCAACACATTGCCCACAGTCAACGCACCCACTCGTGACCGCCCTCTCACATAGCCATGGTCCTCTGGTGGTGGAGTCAGTCCAGGCCTAGGCGGTCTCGCCCCAACCCATGCCTTGCCAAAGCTACAGAGCCCGTGTAGTAGCCGTGTCCCCCTCGTCCGTGGTTTGTGATTCAGTTTGCTTACCTGGTACGTCTGCGAGAGGTTCCACCAGGCGTTGAGTCGATTGCGTTGTCGTACCCCTGCTAGTTGTGCCAGAAGACACTCTTGTAGGCAAGCACCCGCCACAGCTGGTTGGTCATTGGCGGTGCGTCGGGGCGCGCGGCAGGCGAGAAGAGTGCTCCAGACCTCCATCGGTAGTGGCCACGGTGGTGCTGCTCGTCGGCGTCGACCGTGGTATAACTTCGCAATTACTCCATCCAGATCACGGTTGGCCTGCTCCCAATGCTTCATTCCGGGGTAGAATGGGTAGTCGTGGGCGGACACTGAACCGATAAACTCCTCCGCCGTAGTAGCAATGGCCTCCATCCCACCCTCCCGTCCACCCAGTGCCAAGTCCTCCGTCCACGTTTGTAAGTCGGGCCTGGCATCAGGTAGTATATAATGATTCCGCTTCCGTGGTCCCAGTCCATTGCCCGCCATCTGAAAACTGATCCTCCAGGCCAGATCTTCGCGGTTGCATCGTGGTGCCTCCTCCAGTTCGCGATTCAGCTCACTCTGTCGTTCCCTCTTGGTGGTCATCCTTGCCTGCTTGCACCGTCGTGTACACTGTCGCAGTCGTCGGATGCTGTCCAGGTCGCCGTCGAGCTTGTCACGTGCTCTGGTGCGAGCCCTCAGCGCCGCCTCCCTTTCTCTCGCCATCTCTACGTACCACTGCGGCCGATGTTGTCTTGTAGTACTGTACCGTGCTTGGGCTGCTGTGCGTATCGTCGCCACCACTTTCTCCCAGGCTGTCTCGAGCGTATGAGCGCGCATCCAGGCGTCCACCTCCAGATACCCGTCGTCGTGTACTTGTTGCGCAAGGGCCACCTCCACCTCCTCTCGGAACTGGAGCGCCTCCTCCTCGTCATTCATCGCACGTCCCAATGAGAGGTAGTCCCAGTGTGCGCCGTGGTTGGCAAGCGCGCTGTAAGTAAGCTCACAGTCCAGCTCCGCAGCAATAATCATGTGATCCAGCACAGCCACACTAGGGATCGCGCGTACCCGTCGTGTGAGGGAGTACGCAACAGCACAGCGCTTCACACGGCTCATCCAAGGAGCGGAGATCACCATGTGATCTATATGGCTGCAGCTGCGGTGACCGTAGTATGTCGGGCCACAGGGATACCAGCTCGTAATCGCTGCCAGGTTGCGTTGCTCCATCCAGTCGCGGTAGTGGGTTCCCGCCTGGTGCTCTATGCTGCGTCCGTAAGGTCCCAAACACTCACTGTCCACTGCCTGCTGAATGCCGTCGACACTCCGAATACCCAAGCCATCATTAAGATCCGTCGCCGCAATCATCGTGGATCGATTGGGGGTCCCCGCGGTAATCTGTTGTAACTGTTCGACCCGCTTCCTGACCGTCGCCTCATACTTCGGAATGCCCTTGGCATCTGTACACCTCGGGGGAAAATAGCTGACCACAAAGGTGAAGTCGTGTTGGCTTGATCTCACTCGTACCGCACCCAGTCGTCCTTGCAACCCGTGGGGGACTGCCCAGAAATGCACCAGTTGTGACCGTCGAAATCGTCTCCGATCCAGCCATATCTCCACTCCACACGATTTGTTGACCATCTCTCCTCGGGGGCCCTGCCATCCAAACTTGATCAGAATGAACTGCTCGTGGAGGGAGACGTCGTGTTGCGTAGGTGCATCGCGCTGCTTCTTCACCGTAGTACCTGCAAGCAGCACCACATCAGCGAAGCGTAGCTGTTGTGCCACTTCGAGTCGCCTGTCATAGTCGCTCAAAGAGAGAGGGCTCCATTGCGCAATCTTCATACGGGTGGTCGCACATCGCAGCACCGATGTGAGGCAACAAATGAGGGCTGCAGAACTGGCCCTCATGCCCTGGGACCTCGGGCCAGGGCTTGATGATGATGATGATGATGGTGGTGCTGATGATGTTGGTGATGATGACGATGCGCCTGTTTGAGCGGGTGTTCTGGATACCTTGCCGTCTCCGTGGTTGGTACAGGAGAAGGACGAGGAGGAGAAGGAGGGAGAGACAAGAAGGAGGAGGAGGAGGAGGAGGAGGACGACGACTAGCTGGCGTAAGCCTGGCGAAAGTACGATGACGACCTGAGCCCAGCTCGCCGGCGACCCGGGCAGGCGAAGCGGGGGTCTGCTGGCGATCCCAGGCAGGGTGGGCGGGGGAGGGTGGAGGGTGAAGGAAGGGGAAGGAGGGAGAATGGAAAGGAGGAGGGAGGGAAGAAGGAGGGAGGCAGGGGAGGAGAGGAGGGAACGAGGAGGAGGAGGAAAGGGAGGAGGGAGGAGGAGAGGGAAGGAGGGAAGAAGGCACGCGAGGTGCGCTCGCGTCATATATGATGTCCTATCCCTCCCTCCCATCCCTTACCATGGCGCAGATCTCCCCTCTATTCGCACAGTCGGATATCGCAGCAGGGCATAGCATTACTTGGCATAGCATGGTGTTGAAGGTCAACGCGTAGCCTGACATAACGTGGCGTGGCGATGCCCCAAAGTGGGGGGGGGCTTCTGCGGCCCCAAGCATCAACGAATCGGCACCGAGTGCGTAATCACTTCAATAATTGTTTCGGGGGGACATTTTCTAGATGTTGGGGCCTAGTCGGAAGGACCGAAAACCATGCCGTGGCATGGAGCTGGAAATAATGACACCAGCGCAGCAATGGGACCGCGATTCGGAATGAGCGGAAGCGCGGAAATGAGGCCAGCGCTGCAGCGGGAGCGCGATTCGGAGGACGCGCAGCCTGACATAGCATGGCGCGGCGACGCCCCAAAGTGGGGTGGGGGCTTCTGCGACCCCAGAAATAAACGAATCGGCACCAAATGTGAAATCACTTCCGATGGTTGTTTCGGGGGGGAGGCATGTTCTAGCTTTGGTGGCCTATTTGGTCGGTCCGAAATCGATGCCGTGGCATGGCGCTGGACATGATGACGCCAGCGCTGCAACGGGAGCACGATTCGGAACGAGCGGAAGCGCGGATATGAGGCTCGCGCTGCAGCGGGAGCACGGTTCGGAACGAGCGGTAGCCCGAAAATGAGGACAGCGCTTCAGCGAGAGCAGCATTTTGATACAAAAACCAAACGAAAACCCGTTTCCTGGGAATCCTTTGCGTAAGAATACCATACGCGGAGGGGGGCCGAACATTTCCTGGACGTCACCAGGGAAGAGAGAAGAGTCGTCTTCGTATTGTGTAATTGTAGAAAGGAGGAAAGGGTGATGAGGGAGGGGGAAGGGAAGTCGGGAGAGGAGGAGATGAGGGAGGAGGAGCGGAGGGAGGAGGAGGAGGGTGGAGAGCAGGGAGGAGGATGGGGAACAGGGCGAGGAGAAGAGGAGGCAGGAGGCAGGAAGACGAGGATGCAGGAGGGAGGAGGAGGAGGAGGCAGGAGGACGAGGAGGAAGGAGGAGGCAGGAGGAGGAGGAGGAGGAGGAGGAGGAGGAGGAGGAAGAGGAAGGAGGGAGAAAGAGGAGGGAGGAGAGAGAGGGAGGAGGAGGAGGAGGAGGAGGAGGAGGAGGAGGAGGGAGGAGGGAGGAGGAGTGAAGGAGGAGGAGGAGGAGGAGGGAGGAGGGGAGGAGGAGGAGGAGGAGGAAGGAGGAAGGAGGAGGAGGAGGAGGAGGAGGAGGAGGAGCGAGGAGGAGCGAGGAGTAGCGAGGAGGAGGAGGAGGGAGGGCGCGGCGCGGCCTCCACAAGCGCCTCCTGCGCGCAGCGCTGCGCAGACTCCGCCGCCGAGCCTGTCGGGGGGGGGGGAGGGGGCAGCCCGCTCCCCCTTGCCGTCGCTCGGGCGGCCGGCCCGCGAGCACCTGTCGGTGTCGTGCGCCGCTCTCTGGCTGCTCGATGGAGTCCAGGCGGGGGAGGGAGTCTCCTGGGCAACGCGGAGGCCCAGGAGGCCCCGGGTCGGGATGCCTGGAGCTGCCTGGAGCCTCCCAGGAGGGGGAGGGGGGAGGGGAGCGTGGGAGGGGGCAGTGGAGGGGCGCGTGGGAGAATGCGGGGGGAGGGAGGCCGCCTCGAGCTGCGGCCTGCCAGGATGTTCCTCGACGGTCCTCGCCGAGGACAAGAATGCACACGTCCGATCGATGCCAGGTTTAGGTCGGGCCTATGTTGGGCATCGCCTCATCACGATGGCGATCTTAGGGATTTCCTCAGTTCCTGAGGGTGCATCCCTAAGATTGTCACTTCCTTTTAGCGTGTCAATCTTAGGGATGGGGATAAGTTCGAGACTGGTGAAGGATGCTGCTCGAGGGTCCTCGCCGAGGAAAAGGATGCACACTCGGGCCTGTCCCCCTGCAGGGGGATCTTGGACGAACATAACAAAAAGTATCAAAAAGCAGTACTCAAAAATAGTCCCCAGACGTTTGTTGTACTATTTTTGAGCACTCCTCCTGTAGAGGGACAGGCCCGACTTTATGCCAGGTCCTTCTGTGTAGGTGTCCATTCCATGGGAGCCTGCGTGGCCCCCGGCACTGTCCAATTAGGGCCCGATTTGGACTGGATTTGGAACACATTTGGACCGGATTTTTGACTGGATTCGTGGGGGCTAGGAGAACGAGGAGGAGGAGGAGGAGGAGGAGGAGGAGGAGTACGAGGATTACGAGGAGGAGGAGGGGGAGGGGGAACAGGAGGGGAGAGGAGGAGCAGGAGGATGGGCCAGATGTGGCCCCCACGCTGTCCGCATGCAGGATAAAAGCTGATCTCAGCGTCGCCGCCCGAGGCTCCCACGAACAGCCATCGAATTCTGCGTAGGCGTGCGCACCACCGCGCGGGCCCTCCCCGCGCAGCCGCCGCCGCCGCCAAGAAGGCAGCGGCGGCAGCAGCAGCAGCAGCAGCAGCAGCGGCAGCAGCAGCAGCAACAGGAGGGGAGGGGGGGGCGGGTCGGGCACTCCGTCCTTTTCGGGGGCGTCGGCGAGGTGAGAAGAAGCCAGGACGAGGATAAGACCAAGTGAGGGTAGCTCGGAAATCTCTGGAGTCCCGCGGCTCTGGAGGATGTCTCGGGAGCCGCGGCCTTCCCAGAGCGCCCCGGACGCTCTGGAAGGGATTGGTCCTCGTCCGAGCCGCGTCCGGCAAGGGGGGCGTCCAAGGGCAGGGCTCGCAGATCGTGGCCCGAGGCACGTGCGCGGCCAGCGGCGCCAGGACATCTGGGGGCGCCAGGACATCTGGGGGGAGACCATGGCCCTGGCCATGACATCCCACCCCCACCCCCTATAGTTAAGTCGGGCCTGCCCCCCTACAGGGGGATTCTCAGCGAAAAATGGGGGGGGGGGAAAACATACCGCAAAAATACCCCCCAAAAGGTCAAAACATACCCAAAAATAGAATCCCCAGAATATGTTTTGACTATTTGTTGAGCATGTTTGGAGCATTTTTTGTTTTTCGTCGAAAGTCCCCCTGTAGGGGGACAGGCCCGACTTAACCCTATAGTCCCCCCCCCCCTCTTGGCCGCCGCCGGATTTCGCAATAGAAGGACATGGTGTGAGTTCAGGGCGGGTCTGATCTGAACTCTCTCGGAGGGTCCGGAGGTCGCCTTTTCACCGATGGCCTGGAGGGCTCTATAAAGTTCTCGTCTGGGAGGTTTGCGACCCCCCCCCCCGTAATGATGAAACCCGGGGGAGGAGTCAGGGAAGGCGACACCACCATCACCAGCGCGAAGCGCCAGGGAAGGGTCCTCATGGTGATGCGGGCCCGCCGCTTCCTGGCCCCCGGGCCGTGCAGAAAACTGCACAAGGAGGAGGTGGGCCCATGGAAGGGGTCGAGGCCACAGAGAGCGCGCGTCGCGCCAAATGAGAAATGCGACGACGGAGGAAAGGGCACCAGTGGGGACACGGGCTCTCGCCATCGCTCGGACGTCCATTCCCTGTGTTTGTTTCCTGTTCCGTGCGTGTTTTCTTCGCCAAATGATCGACGATCGAGGATGCTCCTCGATGGTCCTCGCCGAAGGAAAACTGCACACGTCCGAGCGATGCCAGGGACTGGGGGGGGGACACAGTAAGAGGCCCAGCGAGGAAGCGGCGTGCCCTGGCCCCTGCCCGCTGTGGCCGCCGCTCGGGGCCCATGGGGCCCTTGAAGCAGGCCCAGCACGGACCCGAGAAGACCCGGCAGGGACGAAATGGGCGGCGAGCCCGCGGGGGGAAGCGAGAAGGGGGCAGGGCCTTCTCAGAAGGCTCGAACGCCCCCAGCCGTCGGAGAAGTAGTCCAAGCCGTCCCCGAAGGCGCAGAACGCTCTTCAGAGGGCCAGAAGGCTTCTTACAGAAGCCTCGCAGCCTTCTGAGAAGGCCTTGTACTTCTCACTTCCCCCCCCTCGCTTGCCGCCGACTAGCCGACGACCTGTGGTGTTAAACCACTGGGGATAATGAAGTTCGGGGTCTGGGGGGTGATCATAAACGATTTCCCTGGCGGAGGATGATGGCGATGATGATGCTGATGATGATGCTGCTGATGATGGTCCTGGGCGCTCGTATAACGAGATCCTCGCACAAAACTGTTCTTGGTGTCCTCGAGCCTCGCGCTTAAAGACGGTCTGCGCAGGAGAGGTCCTTGGCGCTCCTGGCCAAGAAACCTCTCTTGCGTACCACCAATGCTCTGCCTGCTCGGGAAAAACGCGTGATAACTTCAAAATCCAATCGGTCCCTATGGCCCTGCCACACGTTCCTGACTCGGGAAAGGCTGAGAACGTGAGAACCCCTATGGCCCTGCCGCACGTTCGTGACTTGGGAAAGCTGAAATGGTGAGAATCCCAAAGCCCTACCACACGCTCGTGACTTGCGAAAGCTGAAATGATGAGACCTCCATTGCCATGCTCAGCGTTCTGAATGATGTATCTAGTCAGCATACGTAGATACCAATGTCGAATCGCAACTTCCCCCCGCGATAATCAAGTTCGGCATCGCCGCCCCTCTCCACAATCAAATCTGTCTGACCCAGGGATAAGAAACACTCAGGGCTTAAGGGGGGAGTATACTTTATTATCCGGGGTTAGGGGTCAAAAGTCGGCGCATCTTCCCAGATGCCCAACCTGATGCGATTCGAATTGAGCCCTGGCGCAGGCCCATCGCGCCAAGATGGGGCTCGATGCGGGCCAACACGCGATGAGAAATCGACCGCTCCCGAGCGGACCCCATACGCCTCCAGCCAGACCAGACTGGACCCAAAGCGAATGTGGGCTAAGGGTAAGCCCCATGGTGTCCGAAATCGGTGACGCTCGGGCTCCATGCGACCCAGACTGAAGGGGCCCTAGGACACACACATAGATACACACAAATAAAAAGAGTCCCCACATTTCACCATAGTTTCGGGGTGTCTGTCTTCCCCCCCACTTCCAATATTTTCCCATATTTTCTGGGGGATCGACGATTCATTGTGTCTGTGTGTGTTTTTTCCTAAAACAAAGCTAGGATCGGGATAAATCGCTCCAGAGCGTTCCGGAGCGCTCTCAGAGCGTTCCGGAACGCTCTGGAGCGGCCGCGGCGCCCAATACATCCTCCAAACCCGCCGATTCCCAGAGGTTTCGAGTTATCCCGATCCGATTTTGTCCCGATCTTCGCGTCGTGTTTCTTCCCCTCCTGACAGAGTCTCCGCGGCTGGCTGCAGGCTTGGCTGGCCCGCCGGCCTGCTGGCTGGATCTGCAGCCCTCGGGAGGGGGAGCCTGCGGTCGGACCTGGGGCGTAAGAGCATCCTTCAAGAACGGTCCTCCTCTCCTCCTCCTCCCTCCTCCTCCTCCTCCTCCTCCTCCTCCTCCCTCCTCCTCCTCCTCCTCCTCCTCCTCCTCCTCCTCCTCCTCCCTCCTCCTCCTCCTCCTCCCTCCTCCTCCTCCTCCGAGGCCCTCGGCCGGCCAAAATTGCACAGAACAGCCAGGGGTATCCTTCCCAGGGTGCACGAGAGGATCCAACAAGCACGAAGACCATGAGGGCATCCTCCCCGAAGCGACCTCGATCTTGTACCTCGGACCGACTGTACACACACACCGACATATGTTATTCCCGTCTGGTGGGAGGTAGTGGTCAAACTAACCCTGTCCCGGGGAGTGAAACGGCCGGGGCTCAGGGGTCGGGCCAATCCCTGCTAGCCATGGAGGAGAGCGGGGGGGCTGGGGAGGGGGGGGGGGGGGGGGCAACATGGGTAAAGGAGGGCACCGGGGGGGCAGGGAGGGATCGCCGCGTCGAGCCGCCAGGGAAACCAAAACACACAACTGCCGCTATGGTCGGACATAGGCCAGACAAGCTTCCCTCAAGAGCACGAGACCCGCCGTCGGCCAGCACAAACAGAACATCCAAGGGTACCCTCCCCAGGATGCACAAGAGCACCCAACAGTCACGAAGAACACTGGGGCACCCTCCCCGAACCGACCTCGCTCTTACACCTCGGTCCGACTGCAACCCCCAGGCCTCTCCCGGGGTGCGCTCTGACTCGGACTTTCTGGGATGATCCAGCAGTGGCGGCAGGGCCTCCCAGGATGCCGAACAAGGCACGGGCAGCGGCATCGGTGCCCTCTCCCCTCCTCCTCTGAGCCGCGGATCAACCGAAGGGGAGCCTACGCACAGCAGCTCGCTGCACAGCTCCACCAGCAGCGCCTCCATGCGCAGCAGACGCTCGCCGCTGTCCATATCGGGCGCCCGCGCGGGGGCCGGGCGAGGCTCGCGCTGGAGTGGAGCCTCCCTCCTGGACTCCTGCGCCTTCCTTGTCCTCTTCCGCCTCCTCCTCCTCCTCCTCCTCCTCCTCCTCCTCCTCCTCCTCCTCCTCCTCCTCCTCCTCCTCCTCCTCCTCCTCCTCCTCCTACCTCCTGGACTCCTCCTCCTGGTCCTCCTCCTCCTCCGGCCCGAAGGACGGCCAAACACGCGTTGCCTTGGAGCCGCATCTATGGAGCCCAAAGAATAACGTCCAGCGCTTGCGCACAGGCCTCCATCCCAAGAGAGGGGAACCTCTCGAGAAAGGACTCTCGTGGCCGCCCTCGGAGCCGCGATCACACTCACACAGTTCGGATGGGGACGTGAATTCGTCTGCCCAATTGCGGCCCTCCACACTTTGATTTACAATTTTGTTGGACCAGCCGCGCATGCGTTGCAGGCGTCGCCACAGGTTTGGCATGCGTCTTCCTCCTCATCCTGCTCCTCCTCATCCTCCTTCTCCTCCTCATCCTCCCCTCCTCCCTCCTCCTCCTCCTCCTCCTCCTCCCCCCCCTTTCCTCTCCCCTCCTCATCCTCGTCTCCCTCGTCCTGTCCTCCTCCTCCTCCTCCTCCTCCTCCTCACCCTCCCTTCCTCTCCCCCCCTCCTCCTCTCCTCCTCCTCCTCCTCCTCCACCTCCACCTCCTCCTCCTCCTCCTCTCTCCTCCTCCACCTCTCCTCCTCCTCCCTCCTCCTACCTCCTCCTCCTCCTCCTCCTCTCCTCTCTCCTCCTCCTCCTCCCCTCCTCCCTCCTCCCTCCTCCTCCTCCCTCCTCCCCCTCCTTCCTCCTCCCTCCTCCCTCCACCCTCCTCCCTCCCTCCCTCCAGTCCTCCTCCCTCACCCTCCTCCCTCCTCCCCTCCCTCCCTCCTCCCTCCTGTCCTCCTCCTCCTCCTCCTCCTCCTTCCTCCATCCTCCTCCTCCTCCTCCTCGCTCTTCCTCCTCCTCCTCCTCCTCCTCCGCCTCCACCTCTCCTCCCTCTTCTCCTCCTCCTCCTCCTCCTCCCCTCCTCCTCCTCCTCCACCTCCTCCTCCTGCTCTCCTCCTCCTCCTTCCACCACCTCCTCCTCCTCCTGCTCCTCCTCCCCCCTCCTCCCTCCTCCCTCCTCCCTCCTCCCTCCTCCTGCTCCTCCTGCTCCTCCTGCTCCTCCTGCTCCTCCTGCTCCTGCTCCTGCTCCTGCTCCTCGAGCACCGACTCGCAGCGGCCCTCGTCCCTGGGCCGAGCCGCGCCGCGCCACTACACGGCCCTCCCCGCGCACTGCACAGAGCTCCGCCGCAAGGGCGAGAGCCCCGCCGAGGGAGGAGGACGAGAGGGGGAGGGAGGCCCCGCCTGGTCGGTCCGGTTCCCCTCAGACCGAGTGCACGGACACCGCGGCGAGGATCCAGTTCACGGCATACTCAGAGACATCACCAAAACAAAACCAGCAATCCGAAGATAAGTAGCTTCCCAAATCACTATTCCCACTTCACATTCACTGAAATAGCGTATCTCTTCTTACCAGGAGAAAAATCCATGCTGTAAACCGCCGTGTCGCACACAGTAGATAATGAGGCAGAAGGCTCCCATCCCTCAAGAGACGAAACTGGCTCAACTTCATGCGGCCCCGCAGGGCCTTGGCTGAGACTCTCGCGGCCCTCCGCGGAGGGCTGGGGCGGCTTACCTCCTGCGATGCTTCCTGCGCTGCCCCGTGCCCGCCTCCCCTCCCTCATCTTCATCAGCTCCACCGTTCTTGAACTCCTGCAACCACTTGAGCAGCGGGCCGTCCAAGGTGCGTTGAGGGGACGCGTACAACTGGTCATTACGAATGGCACACAAATCTTTGAGCTTGGACCTGAACTCGATGTCGCACTGCTCCTGCATCATGAAGGCCCACACCCATGGGCGGCCCTCCTTGTAGGTCGGGTGGCGCGGCCGCGCACGAAAGATAATATTGTCCAGGATCTGAGGGGTGATCGCGGCGTACTTGGCGACCAGGGCCTTGGACTCCGCACTCACCTCGGCGCTGGCGTCCAGCTTCTTCTGCAGCAACTCCATCAAGCACTTGAAGATCACCGAGCGCTGACTTCCACCGAGGTGGTGCGGCCTCATCTCCTTGGGCGCGCCCATGCCCACGTCATCTCCGCCACCTCCCACCTCGTCGCGCCTGGCCTTCTCGTCCGTGCGCCACAGATCCCGCAGGGTGCTGACCGTCTTCTTTTCCTCTTCGCCCTTGACGATGATCACGAAACTGGCCCGGTCCTCCAAACAGCCCACTCGACGGTCCAGCGAAATCATAATCGGCGCTATCTTCCGCACCACCGTGTAGGCCGAGGCCTTGCTGGGGTCGTCGCCTCTGCCACGACCGCGAGCCTGCTGCTGCGGAGGGCCACCACCATTGGACGATTCCGCTGCTGCCACCAGAGCTAAGAGCGACATGGGTCGGTGACCCTGGGAGTAGAAAGCCAGTTCGTCTCGGAAAACACACCCGTCTCGATAAGCTCGAGCATGCACAGCTACAGCGGGAGGCCCGAAATTTTGCGGTGGTGCTGACAACGCTGAAAGTGCTGAGTGAGGTTGTGTTGCTTCTCGAACTTGGTGTTGCAATACTTGCACTGGAATTGCCATGACGCGATGCTTGCCTGGGTATGCTGCTTGTCTCTGCGTGCTGCGCGATGCCGAACCCCCTTCACCCACACCTCGAACGGCGCGTGCGTGCACGTATAGATATGATCCATCGTGCTCACCGACTGGCCACAGTACTTGCACGAGAACGTCGCCCCCCTGGTGCTCACCTTTTTCCTGACCTTCGTCTTGGCAGTAGCTTTTGCTAGACGACGACCACGACGAGGAGGGGCCTTCGGCTTGGGGCCCTGCTGTGGGGGTCCATGTCCTTGGTCTCTGGGAGCATCTCGTGGGGGCTGTTTCCCTCGGTACCTCCTCCTCCTCGTATTCGGCTGCTCTCCTCCGCCTCCTCCATCCCCACCTGCATCTCCTCCTCCTCCTTGCTGCCCAGGGTGGGGTAGTCCAGGTGGGGGTCCCGCGAGAGGCCGTGGTGCCGTAGGCTGCTTGCCTCGGATCCTTCTCCTGATAGGTGGGGCTCCCGGGAAACTGGGACGGTGAGCACACTTGCGGACATGGTCGGCATACGATCGATTCGATATCACCACGTTGCAATGCGGGCAGACCTGGGACGATGACATGAGACGTTGTTTTTCTGGCCGAAGCTGACCTGAACAATGTCGTACATGCTTGGCATAACCATTTGGGTGCAGGTGATCGCCGCACTTCGGGCACACACGCAGCTGCGCACCACCGTGGCCCGTCGTCTCCACCTTCGCCGCGAGCTGGGGGTTCTCGGCAGGCGGTCTGTCGCCCATCTCGGCGTTGGCGGCGGCATAGGCGCTGGCATGGACCTCCTGCTTGACCTTTGCTGCTAGCGCCGACCACTGCTTGCCTGCCTCGATCTGCGCCACCTCTCTCCAACGGGCGTGCCACTCGTCCACTGGGATCTGGGTCTTGGCCATCACGCGCTGGATTTGTCGCCAGTACCATTGTCGTAAATGAAGGTGTTGTCCTGAGGGCTCGGCCCGCCCGGGGCGATCCGCCAACGCTGCTCCCAGCATCCGAACTTCCCAACGGCTGGCGTCGTAGCGGCCCAGGTGGCCCAGGTAGGAGACAGCGCGATGGGTGACCTGCACCTCTAGCAGCTCGATCCCGAACCACTCGTAGAGCATCGCCATGTTTATTTTCTTGGTCTGCATCTGGCGGAGCGTGAGACCACGAGCGCGATAGGCCAAGTATCGGACGCAGCTGCCCACGAACGCCTGCATGCGGTCCAGGTCCTTGGCCGAGTACGCCCTCACCTCGCTGCCATACAGGAGGCAACCCAACACCGCTGCCGTGAAAATCTGGCCCTGGGCTTTCAGCGGAAGGCGGGCTGCACTGAGCTGGTACTTCAACTTGGCCCAGACCTTGGAGGCTGCTTGGATCCGCTTGCTCGTGTCCATCCTGGCTCCCCCATCGGTGTCGACCCAAGCCCCCAAGACACGCACGGTGTGGTGAAAGCCCGCTGGAAGCGTGCTGGTCACGTCGTAGACCCCTGTCCTCAGAAACTCGCCCTTGCCAGGATGCACCTCCTCGCCTCGGTCGCCCAGCGTGTCGAACACGATCTGCTTGGTGGTGTCCAGATGCTGGGCCTCGGTCCACGACGACGTGTCGTCGGCGAACCCCATGACACGGAGAGTTTCCTGGGTAACGTCGTCGGGGTCTCGCCAGGACTGTCGACCCATAGCACACCGAAGCCTTTGCGAACAGAGGAGATTGATGCCAGGTAACTTGGCTAACAGCTCGGTCAGGGAGTAGTTGTGGTAGACGTTGAACAAACCACAAGAACTGGCACATCCTTCCCGTAATCCTCGATGCAGGCGGTAGACTGAGGAGGTGCCGTGGCATAACTTGACCTGATACTCCGTCTCGGTGTGTAGGCGGCGAAACACTGCAACAATCGTCGGCGGCAGACCTTCGATCTCGAGGGCTTCCCAGAGAGGTTCTCGGGGAACAGTCGGGTACGCCTTCTTGATATCTGCCAGGTACAGAACTGCCCGCTTCTTTAGAAAAGTGTCGTGCGCCTGTTCCCACTCGCCCCTGTGGTTGTCCCACGTCCCCGCCCTTTCGAACGCTGTCCTGGAACGGTGGAGGTGTAGCTCCCATTCGGCATATAGCTCGCATATCACTCGGGTAATGAGAATAATATCCCTGGTGGAGCGCCCCCTGCGGAAACCCCACTGCTCGTTGACAAACAGCTTCTGGTTCTCGAAATACTGCGTAGCACGAGTGATCGCTATCTTGGCAAGAATTCGTGTCAACATCGTCAGAAGGCAGATCCCGCGATAGTTGTCGAGCGATGTCCGTGATCCCTTCTGCTTCCACAGCATCAAT